GTCCCCAGCTGGTGGCTGTGCCACTCACAGACTTCTAACTGTTCCATTCCCGTCCCAGTGCATGCGGGCCTCTGCATAGCTCCCGGGACGGGTAGCTTGAGCCACTGAAGCTCAAAACAACTGTGTTATCTTCTTACCCAGGGAGGATAAGATTGAGGCCTATGACATGCCAAGTAGTGCTATTCTCAGATGAGTAAGACAGAGCCCCTTCCATGTGGAGGGTGGGTCTGGGGCAGAGACAGGTAAACAGTAGGGGGCGCTTTCTTCATGCCCCATGTGCAATCTCAGAGCAAATGCTGACCAGCGACCTAAGAGCTCTCCTGGCTTCCGTCCTCACCCCTAGCATCTACTGTCAATACCGCAGCCAGGGGATCCTGTTACACATGTCAGGCCAGCCCCCACCCCCAGCCCTGCTCAAATCCCTTCAGCAGCTCCCCCTGGTCACCCAGGTAAGAACAAAATCCCTACTGGTCTGCAAAGCCCCTGATTAGTCAGGCTCTCTGCAGAGCTGCTCCAAGCAGTGGTCCACAAATGCAGGGTTATCAACATGCTCCCGGTCCCCTAGTCTCTAGATGTCATTGTGAGCACATGAGAAGGAAAAGAAAAAAAATCCATCTAACCATGATCCCCTTGTCTCAAATACACTGCGGAAGCCTTGGGAAATGTCTGCCTGAAGTTTCCGAACCGGTTGCCCGGGTGAGGCCGGAGAGGGCGCTAATCCCGCTCTTTCAGGGCTGGTGTTTTCATCTTCTTTCCGTGCCTAAACCTTTCGGCTCTGCCTTCTAGGCACGGCAGTTAGGGAACAAACACACCCTGATGACAACTTTCAGAGCGAAGGGCAGAGCCTGCAGCTGGCAGGCCATTCCGGGAGGAGGAAGGTGGGAGGGAGGTGAGGAGGGCATTTATGATATTCCCCATAACTGCATATTTCTCTTTCTAAAAAGCCATGTGGGCAACAGCTGGCTTTTTTTACGATTCCAAAATGGGGAGGAGGTCAAATACCACGGTGCTTTAGAAGGAGAAGGCCACGTGGGATTGGCCTGTGGAGACCCACCTTCCGATGGGGGGCCTTGGGGGACTGTTGGCCACACGACCTGGCACACAGCAGAGCTCAATAAATGTTTGCTCAAGGGTCAGGCTTGAGTCGTCTTTGTGCCCCAAAGAAACCCCTCAGCCCATAACACCAACAGCTGGTCACCCCCATCCAGTCCATCGGCCAATCCTAGCAGCTTTTTCCTACTACCCTATCCTCTCACTGGGGCCGCTGCAAGAACCTCTCCACAATTTCCCTGTTTCTACTCCTTCCTTAAAGCTAAATCATGTGAGAAGTAGGAATGGTGGATCGTACGGTAGCTCTGTTTTTCATTTTCTCAGGACCCTCCAAACTCTTCTCCACAGTGCCTGCACCATTTTGCATTCCCACCAACAATGTACAAGGATTCCAATTTCTTTGCATCTGCACCAACACTTGTTGTCTTTTGTGTGAGGTGATATCTCACTGGGTATTTATCGAAAAGAAGTGAAATCAGCATCTCAAAGAGATATTATATTAGCACACCCACATTCACTGCAGCATAGCCAAGAAGTGGAAACAACCTCAAGGTCCACTGAGGAATGAAGGGATTAAAAAATTCGGACTTACAATGCCATATTATTCAGCTTTAAAAAACGAAGGACTCCTGCAATGTGTAACAACATGGATGAGCCTGGAGGACATCATGCTGAGTGAAATAAGCCAGACGCAGAAGGACAAATACTGAACGATTCTACTTATACGAGGAATATAAAACAGTCAAACTCATAGAAGCGAAGAGCAGAATGGTGGTTGCCAGAGGCTGGGGGGATGGGGAGTGGGGTTCGATGGGTATAAGGTTTCAGCTGAGCAAGATGAATAAGTTCTAGCGATCTGCTGTACGACACTGTGCCTGTAAACAGCAATACTCCATTGTGCGCTTGAAAATCTGTTCAGAGAGTGGATCTTATGTTAAGTGTTCTTATCAAAATAAGATAAAAAAACTTTAAAGTAGCATAAAATTTTTTAAAAAAATTCAAAATCAGATAATGTTAAAACTCTTCAGTTCCTCCAATGGCTCCCATCTCTTTGACATCAGTATCCGAACCCCCTGCGGTGGCCTGGCCATTACCTCTGGCCTCTGACCCTTCACCCTTCTGCTCCCCTCACTGCTCCCTCTGCTTCAGCCATACTGACCTCCTGGCTGCCTCTGGAACAAGCCAGGCTGTTTGCTAGGACTGTTTCCTCTTCCCGGTGACACTGCCACCGAGGCTCCTCAGAGGGGCCTTCTGTGGCCACCTACCTAAAACGTCCACCTCCCCTGTCCTGTCGCCTGCTGTGCTTGTCTACGAGCTCTCGTCACACCAGACAGTGGACTGTAGGTCTACTGGGTCACCTGTCCCCTCTGGCCTCTCCCATTAGGGCAGAAGTGCCACCAAGGTGGGGCCTCAGGCTGCACGCCTCCCAGAGTCACCATCCAGCTTGTGGCAACAGACATGGTGCTCAGAGCTGTGTAGGGCAGAGGCCCTGCGGGGACGAGGCATCCTGTGTTTTTGTTCACTGTTACGTCCCCAGATACTAGAATAAGAGCTGGCAAAGGGCAGCTCACCACTGCCTGTTTTGGTATGGCCTGCGAGCTGAGAGCAGTTTTTACATTTTTAAATAACTGAAAAAAAAATCAAATGGATGACCTTTCGTGACACATGAACGTTATGTGAAATTCACATTCTGACGACCAGAATAAAGTTTCATTGGAACACAGCCATGCTGGTCGTTTCTTTATGTGTCGCCTGTGGGTGCTTTCATGCAGTTGAGTAGTTGTGACAGAGACCCTGCAGCCTGCAAGGCCTCATACTGTATTTACTATCTGGCCCTTCACACAACACGTTTGGGGAGTGCTGGCCTGGGACGTCGAATGGCACCTAGTGGGTGACCAATGAATGGGGTCTGCTGATTTTTTCTGGACTGACCGTGCTCAGGGTCCTACCCCTCCCTCAGAAGCCCAAGGAGGGCCTTTGGCATGAGTTTACTCCGACCCCAATGAACTGTTACTGGAAACCTCCTTTTCACTGGGGTTTGACGAGAGAAAGACGAGAAAAAGTCCTCTGCAAACCTGGGCTTTGGGCACGTCGGCCCCATCGGCTTGGCTGAGCCGTAGGAAGGTCACCTGGCTTCATCACGGCCACCCCGGTAGCGTGGTGTCTCTGAGTTGTCCACGGCTGTTCCCTCATTGTCTCATCCTGAGCGATACAGCAAAGACCCGGGAGAAAGCAGTGTTCCTGCCCCGACAGATGGGGAATCTGAGGCGACAGTCTCCCCTCAGCCACCTCCATCCGGAAGCCATCTGTCCAGAGTCTTTGGCTTCCTGCAAAGACTGATGGGTAAAGACGGGTTGCTGCGTCCAAGGGCAGTTGCCTTTTCATCAGAAACCTCCTCCGGTCCGTCCTCACTCCTAATACTGGAGCCACCGCCCCTGCCACGTGCACGTGCTTGCAGACCTGCCGCCGGTCAGCTGACTGAAAAGGGAGAGCCCTTGCTCATCACTCACCGGAGGACCACCGGCCCACTCAGCGGCGCGGGCCCGGAGCCCCCGCTGCGGTGGCCCCCAAGCCCCCTCTCAGTGACTGCTTTCCGTGGAACCTCTCCGTTTTCCTCTCTCATTCTTCACCTGGACACCTGGGCTGCAGTCACTCCACTGGCTTTACCTGGCACAGCAAAGAGTGAGGAGGTGTCAGAGGCACCCTGGTAACCGGTGGGGCCTCTCTGGAGATGTTTTTTTTTTTTTCTCTTGAGGCATTTTAACTCAAGATGAAAGGAGGCTGGTGGCCTATGAGGGCCGTTGGAGAGAGCATCTTGACATTTAATTGTTCCCAATATAATGAGGCATTGCCTGCTTAGAATGCCTCTTACAGGTCAAATGGTCTTTATTGGGAAAGCTACCTCTGCCCCTCACCAGGGTTGGTGTGTCCTCTGTGGCCGGGGCTCCCCGCGGAAGGTGTCGTCCAGGAAGGCTTCTCTGAGGAAGAGGCATTTAGGCTGACATCTGGAGAGGGAAGAGGTGGAGTGTGCAGTGGGGGCTGGGGCGAGCAGGAGGGAGTGGCTGAGGCACACGGGGCCTTGTCTGAAGACCAGAGCGAGACATCTAGGGCTGGGCAAGGGGTGGTCACCCTACAGGCGGGCCTTCCACTCTTCTCAACGCCACCACCACTGCCTTGCTACAGCCGAGAGCCAAACACATTCGCTGTACCCTACCCCCCTCTGCACCAGGGGTTTCATATTCATGGTCCCATGTCAGCCAACAACCCTATGAGGATAGGGTACGAGTATCTGTGCCCATTTTACAGATGAGGAAGCTGAGGCACTAGGAAGTCAGGGTCACACCACTAGCAAAGACAGAGCCAGGATTCAAAACCCAGTGTCAGCAGATCTTCCGATGGAAAAGTTTCTTCCAGCCCAGGCCACCCTGGGCCTTCCATCCAACATGGTTTCATTTCCATGAAACTCTGGGAGGTCCGGTTGGAGTGCCTGGAGGCTCTTGGGTGATTCTGGAGCCTAAGGAAGGGACAGGAGGCCTAGGCAACTGTGGGAGGTAAGGGGGGCCACTGGGGGCTGGGCCACCTGCGTGGGGAACGTGGGCGGGGGTGGGGGGTCCGGTGGCTTGGCAGCTGCAGTGAGCACGGGGGCTCTGGGAGGAAAGAGGGGCGCTGCGGGATTAGAAACAACCTGCTCGGAGGCCAGGCTTGGGGGCCGATGGGGTAGAGCACCCCGCCTGACCTCACCGCATCTCACTCCTGGGGGCTGTGAGTGGATGGTCCGCAGATCCGCGTTTTCCTCCTGAAAACATGTCGCCATTCCAGCTGCTTCCTCCCAGAGGCTGGCAGTGAAGCAGATGAGCCACAGGAGCAAGGTATCCGTGCAGAGCACACCAATCCGGGGCTTCTAGACTCTTCCTTTTCCCTGAAGGTGCTGGGCTGCGGGGACTGGAGGCATGCGGATCGGAGGAGGAGCCCTTCACACAAGCCAACATTTCACATCGATCCCCTCGTAACTTTTCAGACTTCAAGCCATGAGGAATTGTGTCCTCAGTGATATTCAACTTCCGGCATCCTGTCAGCTGAAGTCTGGGTGACGCTGAGTTCGGCAAAATGACAAACAGTGCGTACATCTGCGTGCGGACGTGTAAGTGTATGTGTCTGTCTGTTTACACACATACCTACTTCCCCTCCCCTCCCCTCCCCACTTGGCTTCCTCACTGCCCGCAGAGCTGGAGCTCAAATCCCTCCTGAGCGGAGGGAAATCCGGGTGTCATGGTTTCCAGAAAGGGAACGCGATCTCCGTATGGGGTGTAATTACATCTTAGCTTTCTGCAGAAGAATAGTTTACGGTTTAAATGCTATTAATTGTAAGCTGTTTTGTTCCACGGGAAGTTGTTCGTTGATAACTACCCAATTAGGGTTATTTTGCAATTAGTCTATTCACAGAGAATTTATTGCAAAAGGGGAAGGCTGTGGTGCAGTAAATGAAGGCACTGCCCGGGCTGGTGTGCCAAGGCTCAGACGCCCATCTTATTACCCAGCTCCCAGCTCCCTGGAGGGTGTGCCACTTTGGCGGACGCAGCAGAGGCCACAGGGAATCCCCCAGGCTGCACAGCCATGCTGGAGGTGTCTCAGCGGGACCAGGACAGGCCACATCAGCCCGCTTGCTCCCCCATCAACACCCACCCTTCTCCTTGCAACTGTACTGATGGCGGAGAGAGACAGCCTGCGGGCTCAGGACATCCCCGAGCTCGGACCGTTTAGGCTAAAGTGAAACCTTCTGCCTCCTGAAGAGGGAAAGGCTCTCGGGAGGACTCAGGCTCTGTATTCCTGAGATACGATACCAGCCCTGCCATCTACTAGCCGTGCACCTGTGACCAAGGACTAAACCTCGTTGAGCCCCCATTTCATCATCCATTAAACGGGTCGATAAGAGACCGACCTCATAGGGCTGGTGTGAGGATATAGTGGGATGGGAGGCACAGTGCTGGAGGTATTACTACACAGAACTGGTACCTTGCAGGGGTCAGCACACTGTGGCCCATGGGCCACATCCCACCCACAGCCTGTTTTTGTAAATTGAGTTTTATTGGAATAACCAAGTGCATTTGCGTACCTATTGTCCTGCCTGTTTTTGAGATATAATGGCAGAGTTGAGGAGTTGCGACAGAGACTGCACGGCCTACAAAGCCTCAAATATTTACTCTGGCCCTTTACAGAAAAAGTGTGTTGACCCTTGGTACACAGCGAGGACCCACTGTCATTCTCATGGAAAGACATTCAGCTCAGGCCTCTGCCAGGCCATGCACTAGCTAAGAAAAAGATTTTGGAAACATCTCCACTTATTTATTCTGCCACGATCTGCCAAGTCGTGTCAAGAGTATGATGGGGACCCCGGGACTGCTTAGACAAGGTTTAAAATGCAAGAGAGAAGCAAACCTTTTCTTTTTAGACCTTTCTATTGAAAAGAGAGTACAGATACATGTTTCCAACAGAAAACTTAAAAAATACAGATGAACTTGAGTAAAGAGTTGAAGCTGTCCCCACTGCACCCCACCCAGAGGGCCACGTGGACACTTCCAAGCCTCTCTACACACTTACCCACGTGGCCATCCCCCACCTGAGCCACACCCTCCGTTCTGTGACCAGCGGTCAACAGAGAAGCATGTGTGAGAGATGAGGAGGCCTGAATTTTAGCCCAAGTTCAGCCTCTAACTGACTGGGTGACCTTGATGATAAGTCTCCTCTCCTCTATGGACCTCGTTTCTTACCTGTCCAGTGGAGAGACGGAATTAGGATTTCTCTAGGGGTGACCTAGTCCCCTTTTCCTTGGGAGCTATTCTTACCATGCACATCCTTCTCTCGAGAGAGATGGGGGATTGAGGAAGCACTAGGCATCTTCCTGCCTGGCTTCCAAATCCTCCAATGTTGGGGGGGACTGAGAGCCCCCTGCCCCCACCCTGCCTCTTGGTCCAGCTCTGTTGTCACCTTTCCTGATGCTCTGACCTTCTGTCTCAACAAAGAGGCGGACCCAGCTGCTGGGAGCATGGACCCATTCCTCTTCCATGCGTGGACCCTGTCCCTGCCCCATGCAGGTCTTTCCACGTGTCCTCCCCCTACCCCTGCCCTCAGGACCTCTGGGTTGTCCCATGGTCGGGGACCTTCTCTCTCCACTTGAGAGTGAACTAAAGCAGTTGGTGGTATCTGAATTTAGAAGCAACAAGGAGGTATTTTGAACGCTTGACCATTTAGTGAGGGATAGAGGGGTACCCCTTGCACTGATTATGGCCAATAAGAATGAGGGGTGACCAAGAGCAAATTGGGAAATGGGCCGCAAGGGAAGACCAAGTGGGAAGACCCTTCGAGTATTTAATGCAGGGCGCTCCCTGGACAGAGAAGGAAGCCGGAACCAGCGAGGGGAAAGGGCTTTTCCTATCAGTTCATGGCTGAACTCAACTAGAACACAATCTCTCCATTTCAAATGCATCCCTCCCTGTCTGTTCCCAATGACACTGGCTCTTTCTTTGTAGAAAGCGTCTTTTGGATGCAGTCCGCCCTCTGCATGGAGAAAACCACTGGACGAACTAATTCACAAACTATTCGGGATGTAACGTCTTCTGCAAGGAAAAATAAAATCTACTGGCTCACAATGAGCTTATGTGGGGATGAGGGTACATGGGTGAAACAGTAGTGACCACCACGAGTTAACTGTAGCCAGATGATGGGAACATGAAGGTTCTCCCTACTCTGAGGTGGGTTTGAAATTTTCTGCCATAACAGATTTCTTTTTTTTAAGAAGGGATCTTGACAAATATGATCTAACCCAGCATGGCAATATCTCTATCTCAGGATGTCTCTACCTGCAGGCTTGTAAGGCCACTTACAAGCCACGTGACCTTAGGGAAGTTGTTTTACGTCTCTCACGTGTAAAAAAGTTATGCTCACGATGACGGTGCTAGCCTCACTGGGCGGTGGATGAGATGAGCTGATTGAATGCAAAGTGCCCGTGCTGTGCCGGGACACAGTGAGCGCTTGGTAATTGTTATTACCCCCCTTTCACACGCACTGGAAAAGGTGAAACCTGCCAGCAAGGAATACGTGTCAGAGGCATGAGGTGAGATGCAGAGATGCACGGTGATGCCTCACCTGTGCAAAACTGTCCCCCCCCAGTTTCTGAGGACCCTCCCCTGTGCTTGTGAACGCCGCTGTTACAGCTCTGACTCGCACTGCATCGCAGCAAGAGGTCTGATTTATCACTGGTCATCAGCACAGAGAATAGGGCCCAGCACAGGGCAGGAGGGAGGGAGGGAGAGAGAGGAAGGGAAGGAGGGAGAAAATAAGGAAGGAAGGAATTTTAGGTGGAGGAAAATGGGAAGGATGTTTTCCAGAGCCTCCAATGTCAATGCAACCAACTAGAAACCTTTCAAATCTTATTCAATTACAGTAACATTGGTGTCAATTTTAATCCCAATATCCTGCTGAGACAGAAAACAAACCATATCAATACCATTGCCTCCTACGACTTCCACATTAGCCCCGACTGCACCGTATTTTATCCTTCGCCACAAAAGCAACAGGTTAAAGCTGTAACAAAAGGTAATTTGATTTTGCGAAACTTTTCTCACACGAGACTTCTGAATTCAGGGAGGCCCAAAACAAAAGATCTCCTGTCTTCATCTGGGGTTTGAAAACTAGGGCGGTTATTCTGAGAAGGTCTGAGAATGTGAGCAGAACGGGGCTGCGACTTACCTTCGAGGGGGCAGAACCGAGTGACCTTCTCGGGCATCAGTAGCCCAAGCTTGTGGCGGCAGTAGGTCTCCCCGATCTCCTGGCGGCAGTGCTTGGACTTGGAGCGGGACAGGGCGGAGATGGCCTCCTTACCCGAGATGTCACACTTGAGGGGCCGGTCAGACTTGATCTCGGGGGAGCTGCCCCCACTCTTCCGGGCGTGGGGCTGTCTGGGGGCATCCTTCCCTCGGCTGCCGTTGACCGGGGCTCTCGCACCAGGAGGCAGCACCTCGTTGGCACCTTTCCCTGGGGACAGGTGCCCCTTCCCCTTCTCCTCCTGCCCCAGCTTCCTCTTCAGAAGCTCCTTGTGTCCTCTCGGGGGCTTCTTCGTCAACTCGGGCTGGTGCTTTTGCTTTTGAGTCCTGGGTGCGAAGTTGCTGTTGTCCACGTTCTCAAAATCCTTGGGTACAGAGTTCTCATTGTTGCTGTCTGTTCGCACTTTCTCTTTTGGCCGGTGAGAGAAGTAGCCATCCTGGAGAAGACAGGAAGGAAACACAGAAGAGAAACTTGACTTTGCCATCAGGCTAAGCAGGCTGGCCCTGGAGGGTGGGGCACGTAGGTTTGGAAGTCTGGGCCCTGGTTCCACGCCCTGCCTTTGCTACGAGCTTAATGTTAGACTTCATGTTAGGTTTTTCTCTTTGAACCTCAGTTTCCCAACCTGGAAATAGAAGATGTTCCAACTAGAAAATAAAGCTTTTGCAAGCTCTAACCTGCTATGACTATGATCCTCAATGCTTGTTATTAACCACACCCCCTTTTCATATAAGTCTCCTTGGTTGTCTCTGCTACTGGAATCTGGACAGTTTGTTCCAAGCTTCCTGTTTAAATTCTAGCAGCAAGCACTGTGATGGTTTATTTAATGGCTAGAAATGCCATAATAAAGCTATAAGGGGAGAAAATATTGGTAGGATAGTATATAATTTACATTGCCTTTAGGACATGCTCGTAGATCTATGCCCGTAAGAGAAATCAGACCGTGCCATAGTGAATTCTGAGTGGGAGACATCACCGGCTGTCTTGAGGGGAATATGCCCTTTATAGGACAATCCTATGCAAGGATCCTACAGTGAGTCCCAGGGGGATGAAAACTTGTGACAGTCTTATGTTTGAGCTTTGACTCTTGATGTCTGTACCTAGAGCAGAACTGATTGAGTCACGGGGTGGGGGGGGGGCAGGGTGTCAAGAGAAAGGCCAAGAATCATTCTGGAGAAAATGAGTCTTTCTGGGAAGGTGGGCACCCCAAACTCAGCTTCTCCATGGGTAGGTGGGCCCTGGCCATTTTGACCTCGGATCAAATGCACTGGTCAACTACCATCCTGCATCACTTCCAAAACACATTGCTTCTGCTTAGAGCCCATTATCAAGGCCTTAACCTGAAAGAGAATCCACTGTCCCAAAGCTAGTCAGAGGGGACACAGAGGCCACAGAGAATGCTAATTGACTCCATAAATCTACACCCATTGCTCTAGAAACACACTGGCAATGAGTAGCAACTCTGAGGGCAGACATCCTCGTTCATTTTCCTAAATGTGCCGATTAAAGGTTCTCAAGGAAGAGGATGGTGGAGAGCAGTGGAGGTAGTGCTGGTGCCCAGGATCGGCTGACGTGCAGCTGACACTAAGTGTGGCTCCTCCTTCAGCAGGTCTGCAAACTACTGCCCTCCCCGAACCAAATCCTGCCCGCCATTTGTTTTCGTAAATAAAGTTTTATTGAAACACAGCCACACCTGTTCATTTATGGTCTGTCTATGGCTGCTTTCCTGCTACAACAGCAGAGGTGAGTGGTTGCCATAGAGACTGGTCTGCAAAGCTTAAAATATTTCTAGCTGGCCCTTTAAGAAAAAGTGTGCAGACCTCAGCTCTCCAAGAACTGTGAGTTTAGAAGGTTCCCCCGGGCTTGGTTTGATTGCCCTTGTCTCCAATGTCCCCATTTGGCCCAGCAACGTGTCTGCCCTCTTCCTGCCTTTGTCCCATCTCCCCTAGCATCAAGCACCAATTTCAGGAGGCCGCAAGAATGAAGACTACACTAAGATACCTCGTGGCCATCCTGTAAGTTGGTGTTACTTTTATTCTCATTTTGCAGGTACTGGGCATCAGTGACTTATCCAAGGTAACTCAGCTGGTTGGTGGTGAAGCTGGGATTCAAGCCAGATAGACTGCAGACCCCATGCCCTAGGCTACCAGCTCCACCAGCCACTTCCAGGAAGCTGCAGAGCCCTTCTGATCCCCATCACTCTGTCCCCTTAAGCACTGCAGCCTGGCTCCCTTCCCATCCACTCCCACCCAGCTAAATGGATCTGGGATAGGCATGTCATCTCCAAATAGCCGTGTCAAGGCTGGTCAGTGGCCATTAGGTGGCAGGGAGTCCCAGAGAGGGAGAGGACAGTAAGGAGGGGCCACGAAGCACCAGGAGCTTGAGGTGGCAGGAGCTGAGAGGCAATGGGTAGGAAGAAGGAAACAAGGAGATGTCGAGGGAGAGTGGAGTCTGTGATGGGTCCTGGAGTGGCTACTGGTCATACACAGGAGCTGCTATTACATGCTGGTCTGTGAAGGGGAACTTCTGGTTCTGACACCTGTTTCCAGTCTTTCTTACCTCTCCACGTATCTTGCAAGAAATCCCCCTCAGTGAGGGGCCATTCCTCTGTTCTTATAAACAAACCACACTGATATTCCTCTTTTCCCTTCTTTCTGTCCAGAGGCCCTTGAAGAATCCCAAGCAGCCTCTCAGATGCATTTTCTGAGCACTCGCTGTCAGCAGGCACCGTATGCAAACGACGCACAGGTATTACTTATTGGATACCAACAGTCGTCCCATAAGGGGTACCCTCCTCACTATTTTACAGAAAGAGGCGTCAAGGCTTGTTGCTTTAACACTCTCAGGCATGGGCACGTATCAAGTGCCAGGCACTGTGCCAAGCCCTTCCATGTTTAACCTTCAGAAGTAACTTTCAAGACAGGTATTACCATTCCCCCATCTTACAAAAGAGGGACAAGGGGAACTTGGGGATGTTCAGTGATCTGCCCGATATCATTTAGGGGAGGCTGTGAACGCGTACCCGTTTAATTCTAAAACTTGCTATAGTTTCGTGCCTCTTCTGTTTGGCTGAGAGGTCAAGGGAGGAGCATTTAGCTCCCCCTTCTCTGTGGGGGAATGGATGGGGTATCTCTCTCTTTGCTCATATTAGCCTAGGTTGGGATGGAGCTGGATGGGGGGATGCTATTCAATAAAGCCCTCGACAAGTATTCCAGTTCTCTTCCTTCTAGGCACATGATACAATTGTACTTCCCATCCCCTGCAAATGAAGCACAGCCAAGCAACCTGCCGTGGCCAAGACCAGTGACTCGGGCCAGGGCACAGTTTGCCATGTCCCTCCTTCCCCCATAGCATCCAGCCACACTCCTGATGGTGAAGGCCCTGCATTCCTGAGTGAGGCCAGGGTGGAGGATAGACTCCACCAACCCTCCATGGACAGAATAAACCTCTGCTGCTTTCTGTCACTGAGGTTTGGGGATCTTTGTTACCACAGCATAGTCTAGCTCATCCTGATTAATACAGGAGCCAACCTGATCTGCTTTCTTCCTCTTAGCTGCCCTCAGATACAGGAGCCAATTTATTATCATTTTTTGCCTCTAACGGTTGGAAAATCAGTTCGATGACTCCTGCTGCCTGAGAACAAGAATTTAAATTCTGTCCCTAAGCCCGTTTTCTAGAAGTTAACAAGAAGGCGGAGAGTTGAGCAGAAAGGCCTCTGCCCTCACAGCCATCTGCATCCTCTCTCATCAAACACATCCTCAGTACTGTTCCTGGGTTGTTCTCTTTCCTCATCATGAACTGATGATCACCAGTTTGTCCCCCAAGCAGAAAACCTCCATAAAACCACTAATTTCAAAAGCTCACGTTCTCTACCACCTTCCGGCAGAAGTTCTCCAAGCAACACCAGTCGCAGGAAGCACTGCAATCAACGAAGCTAATTTGGCCATCAGAGAACGGCTGGCTCCTCTGGTTAATTTGTGATATCAGGACCAGGCGCCACCATCAATTCTAATAGGACTCCTGATTAATAAGTGTCGTCTACTTAGAGACACCCCTGCGATGGGGATGGTGAGCTCACGGTGGCCCCTTGGCCTTCCGCCTGGCCCCAGGTGCTACTCAGCTGCCAATCAAAAGATTCGAGTGTAAGAGAAAAGGGAAATATTTTGTCTTCTGGAATGAAGAGCTCACAGATATTCGACAGCTTCCAGAAAAGCCACTGAGCCATAGTCAGTGAGAACCAGGCATCACCCAGAGGCCTGGGATGATCTGTCACGCTGAGTCAGGGTTGCTTCCTACAACAGCTGGTGAGTTCTCCTACACCTTCCCTCCACAGTTTTCTTTCTTTTCTTGTACGTTTTATTTTATCGTGGCAAGAACACTTAACGTGAGCTCTACCCTCTTAACAAACGTTCCAAGTCCACAATACGGCATTGCTACCTACAGACACAAGGTAGTACAGCATATCTCTAGAATGTATTCATCCTGCACAACTGAGACTTTATGCCTGTTGCTTAGCAAGTCCTCGTTTCCCCTCCCCCAACCCCTGGCAACTACCATGCTACTCTCCGAATTTCTGAGTTTGGCTATTTTAGATTCTCATGTAAATGGATCAAGCAGCATTCGTCTTTGTCTGTCTGGCTTATTTCACTCAGCATCACACCCTCCGGGTTCATCCATGGCATCACATACGGCAGGATTTCCTTCTTTTTCAAGACTGAATAATATTCCATTGTACGTGTATGTCACATTTTCTTTATCCATCCATCCCTCGATGGGCATGAGATATCACCTTCCCTTCCCTCTAACTCTTCACCTGCTCGCCAAGAGGCAAACGGGCCTCAGCTTTTCTCTTCTTCCCCTGGAGAATCAAGATCCAGACATCCGAACCCAGGTTCCCTTCCCTGTAAAAACCAACCTTGGGAGGTTTCCAGGCAAATACATGCGAGGTGACTATCATATCCTCAGCACCCATGTCCCCTCACGCTCTGGCCCTTCACACGCCTTGTGTCTCTAATCCTCTCGAATACCCAGTGAAGCAACAGCATGAGTCCTAGTGAAGGGGAGGAAAGTAAGGCACAGGGAGGTTAAATAACCTGACCAAGGAATGAATGTGATGCTAGAAATGACATGATTCAAATTCTGCATGCCTCAGTTTCCTCATATGGAAAATGGGGATGTGAAAATAATACTTACGTCATGGGTATTTGGTGAGGATGAATGTATGTCAAAACTTCCAGAATGTGCCCACCACACCCAAAGCAGGAGAAACAATGAGCAAAGAAGTTTCCCTACTAATCAACACTGGGCCTCCACCATCTCACCCCTGATGGTCTCCACCTGGAGGACAGATCAGTTAGTATTTCTTCATTATGATCGCTAGCTGTGTCCCCTTTATTCTTAAGCAATCCAACACTCTCACCTTGGGTTATTTATGCAAATGCAACCCTTTGACTTATTTTATTTTAATGTACTTATTGCAATGATTGCACATTCAAATGTGCAAATGTCCTCCAAAACTCTAATTGCTCTGCTGTTGCCTTACCCCTAAGCTGTTGCTAGAATCCATTTTTATTCTGGAGAAATAATTAAATGCAATAATGTCCTCTATTCCCATTCAACCTTGGGCATGTTTAGAGTCAATTTCAATCAGGTAGAAATATGCCAAGCACAAGGTGGCTTCGAGAGGCAGGTTACATGACCCAGGCTGCTGTTTCAGAGACACCTGGGTCTGCTCTGTCCTTCCTGGTTCTCTAACGTTCAGACTTCAGGATGGATCTCTCCTCACTTGATCAATTGGATCGGCCCAACCTCCTCCCTTGCACCCAGGTCCTGTTTCCGAGGGGTGGAGGTGGGTTGCTGTGTTTTCAAACTCTCCACTCATTGATAAACCTTTGCTCTTATTTTTGTGTAGAAAGAACACCGAACAAGAAAGGAGGAGACCTGGGTACTTGTCTTGCTTTAGCGACCATCAGATTTTCTCATCTGTAAGATGACAGGTCCTGTGTGTGTGCAGCTGAACATTCTCTGAATTAACCGTTAATCAACACAGTCGATTAACGAAGTTCTGCCATTTCAGATCATTGAGAAATAACTGATGGATTTTAGGAGACCAGGGGCTGAGGGATAGATGGATGCTCCTAAGTGCATCGTCTTCTCCCTGCCTCATCCTGTGGTCATTTTCTCCAGCAGCTCTTTGACCTGGGACAGACCACTTCATCTCCCTGCACCCTGACGTCCTCATCCATCCCAGGGGCCGAGGCTGGCATCTAACTCCCTGGAACTGAGGGAACAGATGAAGCACAGGACACAGTGACTGACACGTGCAAGGTGCTTACGAAACGTGCATCTATTAGAAAATATGCACACGGTGCTGGCTCTGCCCCAGGCTCTGTTCCCAAGCCCTCTGCAGAGACTAGTTCAATTGATCCCCATGAGGACCCTATGAAGGAGATGCTATGTTATTCTCCCCGTTTTTTGGATGGGATCAGGAAGGTTCAGAGAAGTTAAGTGACTAAATCCAGATCTAGGAAGTGGAGGAACCAGGATTCAAACCCAGGCAGTTGGGGTCCAGAGGCCACACCCGCCAACACTGCACCGCCTCTCTGCAGCTATGAGGAATAGAGATGGTGTCAGAGGGGAGCCCCGGCCAGGTGCGCTGTGCAGGCGGGAGGGCGCCTGTCCCACCTGCTCACTCATCATGACCCGTTTAGGGCTTTCTTTTGTGCCATGTGGATGCACTGCCAGCTGAGTAGCTGTTTGCTGTTGAACTCAGTGTCCGAGGCTTCATTCCAATCACCAAGGTGATCAAGGCCATTGAGAGGGGCACATGGGGGAGAAGCCCACACCTGCTTCCAGAAGGACTTCTGTGCCAGGGCAGTGGAATGGAGGAGGCGCAGTGTGCATGGCTGCACCCAATTAGGACATGCAATTACCGGGCTGCCAATGCAAATAGACCTCACAGAGGCCCGGCGCCCACCCGCCTGGCTCATTTGCATGCACAAAAAGTGGCAGGGCTGGCCAGAGCTTAGAAACCCGTGGTCTTTGCTGGGCACGGGCAGGCCAGGCTTTAACAGAACCCTCAATAATAAGCCTGGTGTAATTTAGCAAATTTAGTCATGTGAACGGGACGCCCAGCATGGGGTGAGGAGGGAGGGAGCTGGATGGATAGAGCTGGCTTGGAATCCAGCCTCTGCCCCTTAACCCTGAGATACAGAGAAAGAAGCTTAGCCTCTCACAGCCTCAGTTTTCTCATCTACAAAAAACAAGGGGTAGGAAGACCTACTTTGCAAAGGTGCAGGAGAGATTAAATAACAGGGCACGATCATATTTAATTCTAGTTAACAACAGAACAATTAGCATGAGGCTTGATATGTAGTCAGCACTCAATCGACATCTTTAGCTGGCACCCCATCATTTGATGAGCAGACCTAAATCATTTGGAAAGGCAGGGTCTGGAGGTGAAGTGCGTTCAGATCCACCCGGCCTCTGCCACTTGCTCACTGAGTGACCCGGGGCACAGTACCTAACTTTGAGAGCCTCAGTCTCCCTCTCTGTAAAATGGGCATAATAACTAGTACCTACCTAACCGGGCTTTGACAACAGCTCAAAGAGTTAATACGTGTAAAGCACTTAACATAAAGCCTAGAACTTAACAAATGTTAGCTACAATTGATTTAATTGGAA